GGCCCCGCTTCGCTGCTCAGTAGATGGAGCTGTTGCTTCAGCTGCGAGGGCCGCTCGGCAGAGGCAGAGCAGTCCTACCCGTCCCCTTAACAGCTTGAAAACAGGATCCAGACCCTCCGCTGGGGGCTGCGGCTGTGGTTTTTCAAAATCATCTGTGGAGCTATCATGAAGTGGCCTTTCTTCCAGGCTCGCAGTTAAGGAGGTGCCGCAGGAAGCCTTCTCGGGGTACAGATCTGAGCAGAGCTATTCTCCGGAGTAGGAGTAAAGCTCTGCTTTTCCCTTCAGTTCTTAATCCATAGGAAAAAGCATTTTACACAGAGATTTGGACCTGCACGCCGCTCCAAAAGAGAGTGTTCATTTAAGGTCTTCTGCCAGCTCTGGGCCAAGCTATCACGTCTGAAGCTGGATCCGAGAACCTGAAGTTACTAAGGGTTTCCTGGAGGCTTAAGAAACGCAGAATCCATGTCCCTAGCTATTTGCATTTCCATGTGCGTCTTTCAAGCCAGTTGCCCACCCCCACCTTCCCCTTGGGTAGCAGGGCTCAAGCAGAGAGATGGCCAAACTAGGATTTCGTTGCCTTCTTTTTTACCCGTCATCTTTCTTTGGCAGGAGCAAATGTGAACATAAAAACAAATAACCAAGATGAGGAGACTCCTCTGCACATCGTCGCACGTTTGGGTGTCCCTGAGCTCGTGGCCTTTTACGTGGAACAAGGAGCACACGTTGATGCTCTCAATGCCTACATGGAGACTCCCCTGGCCTGTGCAGCCTATTGGGCCCTTCACTATAAGGATCAGATATACAGCCCGGATCACCACCTCATCTGTTGGATGCTGTTAGACTATAAAGCTGAAGTGAACACTCGTGATGAGGATTTCAAATCACCGCTCCACAAAGCTGCCTGGAACTGTGATCACGTCCTGCTGCATATGCTGCTGGAGGCAGGAGCAGAAGCAAACATCATGGATGTCAATGGCTGTGCACCACTACAGTATATCCTAAAAGTGACGTCTGTGCGGCCAGCTGCTCAGCCTGACATCTGCTACCAGCTGCTACTGAATCATGGAGCAGCTAGGATATATCCTCTGCAATTCCACAAGGTTAAGGATGGCTTTGTACGGTAGGGATATTGAGAGAGGTGATGTCTTGAACAGGACTGGGATGAGAGATCCCAGAGAGATCTTCAGGGTTTGGTGGTATCTGGATTTGCTGGAGCCTTGTAGACTATGGGCCCAGAACGCCCAAAACCTTGCGAGCCGACCTGCTGTAAGAGTGGTATCATTTAACTGAAGTGAAATTACAGTTGCTAATGCCAGAAACCAGACTCAGATCCCATTTTTGTCCTTAACCAACCTGAAACCCCAAACTCTAAATGCTGGTTCAAGCCTAATTTTTCAGAGCTGATTCACTTTCTCATTTCAGAAGACCTACACGTCTTTGCCAAACCATACAGGCTTAACTGGGTTATACGAAATACATATTTCATGGCCTCTAACAAAGATTGGAGATCAGACCAGTTGATTCAGTTTGTCACTTCTGACGTTTAAAAATCTATTCAAATCTATTCAAAATGAAGTGGATCTCAATAAAGCTTGGGCTCATTCCCAGGAAATGTGAGAAATTAAGGGGAAACGCTGGGCCTCTGCTCATAGTTGATGAAAAAAAAAAAAAAAAAAAGAAAAAGAATTGCAGGATCACTCCCAAAGAATTTCTAAATGTCTGCAAAGTCCAAGGCACTAACAGAAGTAGCTGACAGACTTCTTATATCACACAACTAAGTAAGCTTGCTGTAGTCAAGACTCATTCTCTTTCATCCTGTGCCCTGAGCAACATTTTGCAACTTTCCCCCTGTATATATAGTTTCAACAAGCCAAGCAACCAGAGGCCTTTGAATAAAATGCCAAACCTTTGGTTGTGCCCTTTTGAGCCCAGGATGAGCTGGCCTCGTCTTTTACAAAATAACCCTTAGTTTCCTAGAGACCGTTTGAGAGATGGGTCTGGGGTGTCCTCTTCCTGCCTCTGCCTGTCTCCCGTTGCATGGAGCGGGTCTCCCTTCCAAACCATCATTTGCCATCTGTAAAATATGTAGGATGATATTTATTCCAGAGGGATGTTCTGCAGTTTTGTTTGTGAAAGCCTGTCTCCTGTGTGGGACAAAAATGTGCATCGTACAGTGTGAATGCAAAGTGCTATTCCCTGAGTGTGAATGACAATAGGCTTTGGTTTTTTCCTACTGAGCTAAAGTTACTGGGCAACGAGCAGTCATTTCAGAGGCCCCGTGTGGCTTGGGAGCCTTACTTCTGAGCTGTGTTATCTCCCAGCCTTCCTTTAAATTTTCCGGTAATAATGCATTTTTGATTCATATAATGGGATTTTTTCTGTTCCTGTGCTGCATGACCTGGAGCAAGGACTTTGTGCATGGCTTTGCCTGGTGTCGAGACACTCAACCTAGCTATGAACAAGTTATTTCCAGATTCAGATGATAAAGCTGCCCCCATCAGCAGGCTACACTGCTCTGGAGATCTAAGCCAGTATTTCTGTATTGTGTTAAACTGGGGTGTGCGCAGCTCCACTGGGGGCTAGCCTGGGGTTTCTTGCTGCACTTGCACTAAGCGGTGTAGACGTGGCTTGTGTCTTTTGCGTCTCCAACCTTATCCTCTCGTAATTCTTTGGCTGCATCTGTCTCAGTGTGTCATTGCACAGTGCTAAGCATCCAGGCTAGCCCCAGCTTCTTGGTGGTCCTCATGGTCTCCATGCATCCTGCCTGCAGGTGCTACAAGCCTGTCATTCCCACCCCAGAGCTGTGGAGGTTGTCGTCAATACCTATGAACACATCAAATCAACATCGAAGTGGAAAGCAGCCATACCTGATGATGTCTTTGAGGTAGGATCTTAATGAGTTGCAACTGAGTAAAATCCAAGCTCCTTATTTGCATTCTCTATATCTGGCCAACGAAAAGTGAGAATGCTTTTGAAAGAGAAGAACATCTCAGAGGATTTGGGACTTCCCCATTTAATATCACTCACTTGACAAAAGCATATCACTCACTGACAAAAGACATATTTTTGTGAAATTTTCATTGCAACATTATCCTTTGGAGCACCCCCTGGCAGGGATGCTGCAGGAGTTCAGCTGTCCCTGCACTCAGCAAGTGCAAAGATTCTGGCTGTGACTGGTGTTTCTTCAGATCTGTCAACGCATATATTTATATTTTTTTTAAGTCAGCAAAGCTTTTAAAAGTACTGTGTTACATGTGAATGACTACATATTCTGCTTCTGTTGCCTGGGTTGGGTTTCTGTGAGCAGGACTCGTTAGCTGCAAATACAAGGGAGAATTTAAATGAAAAATAAGAGATCGAAGAAAAATAGATGTTGTCAAAAGGCAAAATTGTGGGATGAGCTACATGCCTGGACATAACTATCCCTTTACTTCAGAAATCCTCATAGTCTCAATCCAATATTCCAGTTTAAACCTAGTTTTTTATTAATTCTGGGCTTTTTCAAAATTTTCAAATCAGTGCTGAAGTTAAGTGCACCAATATCTGCTATGCATTATCAGTGATGTTTAGGGAACCCCATCTGTATTATAATGCAGCGTTATACAGCCAGAGGAACTGTGAGACTAACTGTTTTTCCAGGTCAGCTTTGTTCAGAAAAAAATTAAAAGAAACCATTTTGGGTGAACACAAAATTAAATGTTAAAGTTCCTTTTTCACCTAAATATAATAATAATAATAATAATAATAATAATAATAATAATAATAATAATAATAATAATAATAATAATAATAATAATAATAATAATAATAATAATAATAATAATAATAATAATAATAATAATAATAATAATAATAATAATAATAATAATAATAATAATAATAATAATAATAATAATAATATAATAATAATAATAATAATAATAATAATAATAATAATAATAATAGAAGCTTTGCTGAGCTATGAATGTGATTAGAAAGAAAATAACTAAATCTTTTTCTCCAAACAAAAACTTTAATCTGAAATATTGAAACATTCTTATTTGGAAAAGTCTACAGTTGCTCTATTTCTTTGTTGAGATTGTCATTTTTGTTGTCAAAGCTGTTTGCCAAATTTGACATGAAATTGAAGAAAAAAAATTTGACACAAATCTGTACTTTTCATACATGAAGTGTATCTGAAAAAAAGTGTATCCAGACCTGTCAAGTAGCAAAAATATAAAGTAAGGTCAAGTCACGCGTAGTCGCACTTATTTACCGTTTGCTTCTTTTATTTCAACATCATTTGTAAGCATCTGCACTTTTCTTCTCATTGGGATGCAATTTTATTTCTTCTAAAAAGCCACTGGAGCGATGAGCAAGACCAAAGGTACTTTGCCGTTCAGCAGCCCCAGCGAACTCATCGGTAGCGCCGGCATTATGCTGCCTTGCTGCCCCACGGTGAGGTTTAGGGGATTAACTCGGCCATGTGCACTGACCCTGAGCTGGCTGCAGCGTCTGTTCAGGTCAGGACTAACACCACAGAGGAACCCCCACCTCAAACTGATGGATATAAGACATACCAAGCCTAAAGATTTCAGCACGGTCTTTAACTTCACACTAAATATTTGAGGCAAGCATAAGAATTTTGTGCAGGCATTTGGCTAAAGCAAGTCCCTGATGCTTGATGTGCCTCCAAGGGACAGGACGGCTGTCTATGCTTTTTAACTTGTTCTGCCAAGGGCTGCCTGTGGGCAGGGCAAAGGGAGGGAAGGAAACCAGCCTTATTGCCCTGAAACACGTTTGTGTTTTTTTACAGCGGCACCAGGACTTCTATGACTCTTTGTTCACTGTGTGCAGCAATTCACCACGGTCACTCATGCATTTATGCAGATGTGCTATTCGGGCAATATTGTCAGAAAGGTGCCACCGAGGAGTCCCCTTGCTTTCCATCCCCCCGTCCATGAAGAAGTACTTGCTGCTGGAACCAGAAGGAATCATCTACTGAGCAGCAGCAGTGCGGGCATTGGCATCTGCCTTTCAGGATCCGCGTGCCTCTGCGGGGTGCTGGAGATACGGGCAAAACCCTGACACAGCCCTTCGCTTTTGTACAGTCGCAGGCCAGCCTGAAGCTGGGCTGGGATTTACCAGCTCTCCTCAGAGCTGCTGTCTTTCCCTGCACCGAGGAATTGCAGCTGCAGGCTGTGGGTTGCGCTGGGGGAGGCAGAGCTGGAAAGCCCCCCCCTCCAAACAAACACAGGGGCGCATACTTCCATGCTTTGTTCAGCCTAGCTTAAACGATGCTTCTGCTGCCTTTGGTATTTATTCCACTGCCTGCTAGATAGCATTAGAGTCAATCTGAACAACCTTTGATACTGCTTCACTGTAATTTTCTTCAGCTGTCATTTTGGGAGTAAAAGAAAGGATACCATCAAAAAATAGGACATTTATTAGCATCACAGAAATGCTTTCCCAGAAAGAAATGGGCGAACTGCTTTGAATCACAACCACAGACAGGATTTCAGTAGTTTCCGTATTTTCCTGTGGATTGACTCTCAATTCAATGTTAGTTCACTGTTCACTACACCTGTCTGTATCTTATAAAGCTTTGTAATAGTAATATCCTTTTTAATGGCAAGAATTTTTTCCATTATCAATCACAATATTGAAATTTGCAGCACTGAAATTTCTGTACATTGCTATTCATGCCCAGGTAGCTTTTAGCACATGCTATCTCTGTTTCTGCTCTCACTGTGACCAATGATAATTTCATGTCCTGGTGTTGAGAAATGCAGGTAGAATGGACTTGCCCTTGTAACCTGCACAGCTGGGCTTATACCCATCCACATATCCCTCAGGATGGTGTTGGACGGGGTCTGGGAAGAACATGAATCCTTCTCTTCCTTGACTATAAAAGGAACCTAGCCTGCTAACATGGACTATACACCTCATTTTTTGGCAGCTAAGCGCAGGTGAGAGGAATCCTACCTTAACCGAAAGGTGTTTCCAAGATGCAGGTGTGTTGGCTGTGCTGTTACAGACATGCCAGTCTCCCTGATTTGCAGGCCCTCTGCTTTTGGACCTGCCGGTGCTGGTTTCCCTGCTTGCAGGAAACCTTTATTCCTGACCAAGCTACTGTCTCCAGTTCAGGAGGATGAAATGAGGGCAGAGGCAGTTCACACACCAAGTGTCCCGCAGCAAGGGCAAGTGTGTGATCTGACCTACAGATAAAACCCATTTTTCTTCTCTTTTTCTAGTTTGATGCAATCCATCTGGGCTGTTCCACTTTTTTTAGACCCTGACAATTCTGGGCCCTGTTAAAAGGGAGGTGAGCCGTGCCCACCATTGGGAGCCAGTAACTCCTGACTTCTCATTGCATCTCTGACTGTGAAGCTGTCAGTCTTTATCATTATTATTATCTCTTTGCAAGAGAGCCCACAGCATATTAGGCTCTTCCCAACTGGACAGGAGCGGCCAAACTATTCAGGGTCTCTGTGTCTTGCAAAGTGGCAATAACAGCACTTGAAGATATGTGCAGATTATTTAGTGTTATAAATCAATTTGCTTTCTTTTCTTCTCAGTTTTCATGAATCAAAGACGGTACGCTGTGTTAGGAGAGAACCCAATTCATGGGTCTGTGTATGTTTAGCTAGACAGCAACGTAGATTGCTGTTTAACAGTTTCCTGTTCCAATGGAGAATTTCAAAGACAACACAGACCATGAGAAAATGCTTTCTTGTATGAATGAAGTTGTAATATAGGTCCCTGTACTTTACTAAACTGATGAAAGCTTTCCATAGAGTTGCAGAGATATCTCTAACAGAGACACTGCTGTAGTTTACAGGGGAGAATGATCAGGATCTGGGGCAGGTTGTCTATAGAAAAAACTGCTTGAGGCAGTTCCAGGTTGATGGGATCCACTGAATTCTGCACTGAGGAAAACCAGTGAATTTGGAAAGATGAAAAAAGCTTAGGTTGTCTAAACCCACTGCTTTTCTAGGATATGTACCTATGTAAGTCAGGCATGAGGAAGAGGATTTGCAAACTGGTTAAGGCAAGAAAACGTTCGTTGCTTTCTGAACAGTCTGACAATAGGGCAAGTTGGGTAGTCCAGAAGAGACAGATGGAGGTAGCTGATTTTAGTGGGAACACATCCCCATGCTGGCTGGTTCTGGAAGTGAAATTCTGCATCTGGAAGAGGGAGGTTTAAGGCAGAACAATAGCAGTGTTTTCTGACCTGTCATAGTCAGGACTCTCTTGCTGAGAGAGAAGAAAAAAGGCTGTCACCAGTGTTCCTAAATTCCCTCTGATCCTCCCCCTCTGCAGTGAACATGCTTAATTTTTATTCTGTGGGCACCCAGCCTCACTTCCAAGCTTTGTACCAAGCAGGTGCCAGATTATAGCCATTGTGGTATCTGACAGGGAGCACAGTGGGATCAGGCTGATTATAGTCATAGGAATTTGCAAGCTGTTAAAAACACTGGAGAACATCCCTATCACAGAAGAAAGACCTGATTGATGCACTTTAATTGCTTCTGTTGGAGTTAGAAAGACCAACAGTAAGCAAACCTTATTATTTGTTACCTTTTAGTATTTCTTTCGTTTTTTCTCTTACTGTACTGTATTCCCACGCACTGGATGGAGTTGCTCATGTGAGGCGTGGGAGTACCTGATAATAAGCTCATCATTTATTAAATTTACGGGATGCACAGTCTTATTATTCTGACTTAATGCAGATGCCTTGAAATTTCATACTGTCATATACTCCTGATCATGCTTTTATACGTTCAAGGCTGCAACAGATTGGATGGCTGCAGGTGGAAATAATGAGAAACCGAGTTGTCACCCATACGCTGCAAGTTTGAACCTAGTCATGACCTAAAATGGCAGAAAATTGTTTTCAGGGTTGTCTGGTGTCTTCTGTGAAATGAGTTGCTTTTTGCCCTTTGGCTTCTTAGTAGAGATGTAGCCATGTTTGAGATATTTCCACTGCATTTCACAGCCTATTAGAATATTTAAAGCACAGATAGGCACAAAGAATGATCTACCCTTTCCCATTGGCAGCCCTTTCCACAGCTCCCTTAATGACTTCTCAATGGCTCGCAATGAGATTACATGTTTTGGTCCTTGTGCTTTGTAAGAGGTGTATATGAAGAGATGTTCTTAAGCCACATGCATTGTTGACAAAAGAAGTTATCCCATCTATGAACATAGAGACACTCTGCATGTTTTTGTGGGCCAGTGCAGAGCCACAATTCAGCTGTTCATGGAAATATGGACATCCTCTTTGTAAAGTGCTCTTGCAATAATTTTAAACCTAGCCCCTGATGTCTGATTGGATCCAGCTTGACTCAAAAATCCACTGATTTCTCCATGGAGAGCATGTAGGTGAAACTGAAGTCAGAGTCAATCTAACAGTGTTCAGGAATGTATTTTCCTTCAAAACCTTTAAATGTCTCTTCATATTTGGTCAGCCTTTAGAGACAAGGACAATGAGCCCAAAACAGCGTGGCTGGGTCACCTCTCCAACACTGCTGCTTGTCCTGCTAGCCTAATGCCAAGAAGAGGAGCCAGAGACTGCAAAGCAGAAACTCAGGACATTGGAAGTGGAAGCAGTAAATCTTGACCAGTTCCTGCTCAGCCTCCAGCCAACATGTCCTTGAAACCTTCACCATTCATCCTTGAGACAGGCTAGTTTTCCAGTGCTGCTGGTGGCAGGAGGGGAAGGATATATCCTCAGCTGCGTTCTGCTGCGTGCAGTGGTATCAAGACCATATCGGCTGCACAAGATTTAGAGATGTGATAAGTGCGTCTTCTCTCCATAAAGGTGGCTTTGGATGGGTATCAACAACTGTCTGCATACAGACTGGTCCTGGAGCGTAATGCGTGTTTTGTTAATGTGCTCATTACTGGTACTTTAAGACCATACTCAACAGTCAATGTCACACACCTCTACTCCAAGCACAAGCTACCTGATGAGATCCTGTTGCTTGGTCGAATGGCAGCAGTACTCAGCCTCGGGACCTTCAGCACAAGGGGTGCTGGTTCCACATCCCTCACTCCTCTCATAATGACTGCACTGAGAAGAGTTTGCATTATAAAGAAGAAAAGGCTTAAAGCTCAGATCACAATCATGGGGCCTTGGGGCCACCTGGCACAGGCAGCCAGGATCTCCATGTCTTTTTACCCTTGGCATTTGAAAAGCCAGCAGGCAAAAGGAGATGGGTTGCCTGCACCCCTCTTCGTGCTCTTACATGGCATTGTCACTAGGGCTGCGTGGAGGATGACGAGGCTGTCTGTATCATCTTGAAAAGTTTTGGACAAAAACTCCTGACTACACAAAAGCAGAATGGTGTTGAAATGTCCATTTAAATTCTGGCAGCTCTGCATGGATATGTGTGTGCGTCGGCATGTGCGTGCATGGGCACGTGTGAGGAGACTTGCAGAGAGATCCCAGTCGAAATCTTTGCTCTAGTTTCAATCAGAGTCTTTTGACCCAAATCAGGGTATCAGAGCTGAAACCAATAAATTGCCGTAAGTGTTTTGGCATCAATGAAATTTTACTTATTCAAAACCACTGACCATCTTGAAAGACCATTTCTCTTCTTTCCATGGGGCAGTACCTTACAGCCTATACACCAGTTTTGACAGAATCAAGTTAACTGCCATGATCATGACTTTATATAAATCTCCCAGACTGAGCAAGACTGACAACTATTTTTTAAAATGTCAGAAACACAGATATTAGGGGGTAGGGGAAAAGATCTGGTCTGCCATGGAAGGTGGCAGCTTTACTTTTAGCTGCAAGCACTGCTGGACCAATTAAGATGATCACAGAGGTTTGGCTCATTTGTATTTGAGGAACGTCCTTTGAAAACGTGCTAATGCTTTTGGTAGCAGATTTTGCTCATGGGACAAGTACCTTTAAATCAAACATACAAGAGTTCAGTCTTTAAGATTGGAAGGAAGATTGAAACAGTCTGGGGTGGCCTATGCTATTATACACCTTTATTAAACTCTGAGAAGCCAAAGAGGCATGCCAGCATTTCAGTGCGCTGGAAGGTTTGCAGGGCTCTTGAAGGGCTGCTGCTGCTTTTCTGAAATGGTACAAGATATAGATGGGTCGGACACAGCAATATTTCCATTTACTTTCAGGGTATGGCAGTAGAATATCCCTGTACTTCCTAGGGTTTGCTCTTCTACTAAATGATAGTGCAGAACATGCTATTAGCAGAGATGCCAAAGCCTAGCTAGCGTCTGACACCTTAACCTCCCCAAGAATTATATTAAAGTAGTGGAAAGATCTACCACAGTCTCTATTTGTAGGACGGCAGGGACCTCTGGTACAGCAGCCAAGTGGGCCAGAAAAGATTGCTATATACAGCAACTGTCAGATGAAATTGGTTGGCCGCTCAGAAATTTGTTTCTGACTATTTCTCCAAATGCATCTTAAGCTTCATAAGACACAAAGTGGAAAGGTGACTATGGATATTACTCATTCCAATGACCTGTTTGATTTTAATACACAGTTAACATTTTCTTAGCACATGGCAGCTGTGTGTTGCCCTTTACCTTGCACAGGCATCCTATGGAGTGCTGCTAAATTACAACTAAGGTGTTTGAAACAAGGACAGTAGGGCACATGATTTTTACACTATTGATGAACCGTTCAGTTCTGTTCTTTCAAGCTGGGGCTGGCTGGGGATGATGCTATCAGCCTTTTGCCTAGTGTCAGAATCACACCACATTTTAGCCTTGTAACAGTGCAATTGATATGGCTGCTTAGGCTATTTGTACTGCAATGAGCACTGCGTTAGATTATGTCAATATTAACTGTCAGTGGGGAGTTGCACTGCCTGCATATAGCCATAAGCTTGCTGGCTATCTGTGGGGGGAAAGAGGGCTGAATCCAGACAACTTTGGTCAAGAATAGGGATCTTTACGTATCCCTGATAACCCTAAAAACACCACTAGTTGGTCAGGGACTAAAAATAAATAACTGCTAAGATATGAGGAAAAAGGCACAGGAACAAAAGAGTAGCAACACTCACAGAAAGGCTACTGTATAATAGTGTGCTATAAAGGAGGGGACAGAATTGTGTGCCCTATAAATATACGGGCACTGGTTCACACAGTACGAAAACGCAGGCATTGCTGAAGGGCAGGCCAGTGCCTGGGCTGACTACAAGCACACAGCGTGCTGCAGAGCACAGGGGAAGAGACATCACTGCAGTCAGGGCAAAGCCGTTTCATGACAAAAAGTAATATAGATATTTTAACATCCATGCAGAGTAAAACTGACCCTAAAGACCCAGTTGCAGTGAAGTCCACTGAATTACATCTACCTCCCAAAGTTGAGACAACCCTTTGGTGAGTCTATCCTGCTGTTTCCAAGTTCACTGCTGGGGAAAAGGTGCGTGGCTGCCCTAAACTCAAGGGCACTCTGTCTGCCTATGTCCGCAGTGAGCACACCTCTTGGTGCCAGCAGCTCTGAACTATACCTTGCTGGAAATCTGATCCCCAGTCTGTCATCTGGGTCCATTTCTGCCACAGCCCTGCCCTTCCCTCCACCATAAATCCACAGAATTTCAGCGAATTCTTTTGTTCTTCCCCACCTTATAGCAGTTTTTGGTAGCTTTTGTTTGGGATAATTTTTTGGATACAGTGAACGGACTTAAAAATAATCTGAAATGAGTTGCACAGACACCTGCACACACACAGAGCAACAAGACATGAACAAAGTCAAACTCTTCTCAAATAAAGGAGTTTTGACCAGCTGGAAAGAAAATAATTAATACATTTTTACATGTAACAATTGTTTTTTATATATCAATACACTGATGGTGTAATTTGCAGCTGTTGGGTAGATGGAGTAGAGTATGTACGACAGCATTACCCTGGTCTTAAAGGTCTCTAATGCAATCAAACCTGGTGTAATCTGCAGAATATGCAGCATTCCAGTCTAAAACTGAGACCCAATTGCCTTACTATTTTTGTTGGATTACTTTAGAAATTATTTGGAGGGTTTAACACAGGAATCTTTAGTTCCTGCAATAATTCACAATATTTGCATATTATTTCATTGTTTCTCTGACTGTCTGCTCCAGCACTCAGGTGCTCAGCTTTGGAGGGTGGGTGCAGTAGCCAGCAAAGGTGGCAAGCACTGGCTGCAGCACTTGGGGAGCTGGATTCTCCCGAGGATATGGAGGGGG